GGGATCCGAACCCAGGCCGCCAGTAGCAGAGCACATGCACTTAACCGCTAAGCCACCGGGCCGGCCCTAACAAATTCAGTTTTTAAGTATCAGACTTTGCAGAATGTCATTTTCCCATGTACAGTTTTAGCTGTTGACAGGATTATTTGTTTTTGTTTTTATGATTATTTTTGCATGTGTTAAAAGCCTGGTAGGTTGGATTTATTTCTTATCTAATTGATGAAATTGTCAGCAATTCTCAGGTAATCGACAATCATTCTGTTGACTGGGATCGGTTTGCTGATCCAAATCTTTAGTATATATTTCAGTATCATTATATTTTATTTTTATACATTTAGAGTTGGGACTTACATGTTAGTAATGATATAATTTCCAATCTGCTAAATTCATAAAGCAATATTTTTTTCTCTCCAATTTTTGTTGTTTCCATGTTTTTAGGATCTGCTCTTAGAAATCTACAGAAGTATAGGAGAGCCAGATAGTCTGTATGGCTGTGGTGGAGGGAAAATGTTACAACCCCTTACTAGGTAAATTGCATTTTTCTACATAATGATATAATAATTCTGTTTGTGAAGGAGTTACATGCATGTAGAACTCAAAGGTATTTTGAAAATCTTTAATAATAGACTACGAACATATGAACATGAAGCAATGTGGGGGAAAGCCCTAGTAACATATGACCTTGAGACAGCAATCTCCTCATCAACCCGCCAGGCAGGAATTATTCAGGTATGTTTTTTTCTCTACTTTGGTAATGCACTACTAGTGTAGTGCTGAGAATATTTCAGTATGTCAGTGGAATATTTACACAGCTAGATAAACTCTTGAGATAAGACTGAAAGTTTTTCAGGCATTGGGCTAAAAACTCAGAGGGATCCACAGGTAAATCAGACAAGTCACTGACCTAAAAGATAGTGTAGATTTGTTGATCATGATCTTGTTAGCTAACAGTAGAAGACATTTCTTGACTGTACAGTGTGCCAGGTAGTGAATCAAGTCCTTTACTTGGAAAATCTCATGTAAACTATTTCTCATAGTTTGCATTCGAGTTGGTCCCAGAAGGTATCATTTCTGTTACCAGCTAATATTGCTTAGCATTCTTTCATCAAATATCAGAGTCGTTTGAGCTCTATCTATCTTCGTGTTTTGGGGGGAACATACTAAATAATATTTTGGGATTTTAAGTGATATATTGTCAACTACTAAAATTTTTTAAAGTTATTTTTCATGTTTGATTGCTATTTTTTGTTTCTCTAGTTTTGTTGTCTTTGATTACTTACTTTTTTTTTTTAAACTCCTGCTCAGGCCTTGCAGAATTTGGGACTCTGCCATATCCTTTCTGTCTATTTAAAAGGATTAGATCATGAAAATAAAGAGTGGTGTGCTGAACTACAGGAACTTCATTACCAAGTAGCATGGAGAAATATGCAGTGGGATCACTGTACTTCTGTCAAGTAAGGAGAACTCTGACATTTTTTATTGCCATTTGTCTAGTTATAAACAATAAACTGTTTTTATCTTGCTCTGTGAATGTAATAGGAGTTGTGTTTTTTATGTTTTGTAGATGCTGCAAGCTATAGATATGCCTAAATGCTTCAATAAGATAGCAAGAAGCAGTTAATGTACCTAGGTTTGAATTTCACTCTCTTCTTCCATTAGGGCAACTCCACCCCCACTTAAGATATATTTGAAAATAGAAATATAAAAAGTATTTTTTCATGAGAATCTTCTCGCTTATTATTTATAAATCCAAAGAAAAATATAGGCATGTTCCTTCCCACTCCCTGCTGCAAACATTTTAGTTAGTCAGATAGCAACTTTAGTGGCTGGATGGTACACAAAAGACTTATCTTTATTTATGAAATACTTTTTTTAATTAAAAAATACTGCTAAATCGGTAGCATAGGAAGGTAACGTTGATACCCTATGTGTAAGGTCACCATATTTTCCGCATGAAAAGCTAAACACCTAATCTAATGAAAGATTTTATATTTATGTAAAAAAGTCTTTTTTGATATAAACACCAAAAAATTAAATCATGTTAATTGTATGTTTAATCATTTTCATAGAAAAGAGTTTTCATTATTTGGACTGTCTTTCAAATTTCAAACTACTAGATTGCTATGGAATTAGAGGTATACTTTTATATTTTTACAACATTTTACTCTGTGAGCTTGTTTCTGCTTGCCTCTATAAATCATCTTATACTATTCTTCCCTTTGTCTACTATATTTCAGCCACATAGGCTTTCTGCTTGTTTTTCCATCAGGCCAAGCTGTTCCTACCTAAAGGCCTTAAATGTATCTTCTTTTTTCCCCTGTTACCATGTGTGTGGCTTCTTGTCATTCAGACTCTAGTTTAATAATGTCATATCTGGGCCGGCCCCGTGGCTTAGCGGTTAAGTGTGCGCACTCCGCTATTAGCGGCCTGGGTTCAGATCCCGGGCGCGCACTGAGGCACCGCTTCTCCGGCCACGCTGAGGCTGCGTCCCACATACAGTAACTAGAAGGATGTGCAACTATGACATACAACTATCTACTGGGGCTTTGGGGGAAAAAAAGGAGGAGGATTGGCAATAGATGTTAGCTCAGAGCTGGTCTTCCTCAGCAAAAAAAAGGAGGATTAGCATGGATGTTAGCTCAGGGCTGATCTTCCTCACACACAAAATAATAATAATGTCATATCTCCAGAGACACCTTTCCTGACCACCCATTCTAAAGTAGCCACCCAGTCATTCTATTTTGTTACCCTATTTTAATTCTCTGCCTGTCCCTTGTCACTATCTGATATTTTTATCATTTATTGTCACTCTTCTCCAAACCAGAACATAAACTCCATGAGAACAGGGACCTGATCTGACTTGTCCGCTAATGGATCCCCTGCATCTAGAACCTGGTGCCTAGTGCCTGGCACATAGTAGGTGTTCACTGAATACATAAATGAGAATACAGCACATTTAGAACTAGGCAAAATATCTGAGAAATTTACTTTCTTCTGCCTGAAGAATTTAAATGACCTACAAAATTCTTTGGATTTTTTTTTTTTTTACCAAAGTTTCTAGAAATGCATTTTTTTAAATGCAGAAATCTTAATTTTAGTGTTAAAGTTTTGTCTTTTGGTGAAATTATTTGTGTATGCATATCTTAGGATTCTTTGTTTTTAAGTATATTTTTTCTTTCATTTTTTCAATTATCTCACAGCAAAGGAGTAGAAGGAACCAGTTACCACGAATCATTGTACAATGCTCTGCAGTCTCTAAGAGACAGAGAATTCTCCACATTTTATGAAAGTCTCAAATATGCCAGGTATTATGAAAAGAAAGAAATATTGTAATTTAACATTTAATGTCATGGCTTCTTTTCTGAAAACTTGACAAATAATTTCAACATAAGGATTTGCACTGGTGAAGGGATAAGGGCTTGGTGGCTCTGATCAGGTTGTTTCCTTGTCATTCCTGCCCTCCTCTCAAAAAAAATCCCCTGTGTAAGAAATAATTCATACCAGTGAGTGTTGAAACTCAAACAATGCAAAGGGGAGGCAATATCCAGTGATTAGCAATTTCATAGCTTTTGCACATCTGAGAAATGTGTGCTCAGATGAGTTTATGGTTTCATGAGTTTATGAGTTTAGTGAGTTTGATCTTCTGCAAGGATGTTTTTATAAGAATTGTGTGTGTGCCGATCTTTAAAAAGTATTCTTCATGTTTTAAATGTTTTATATTAGAGAATTTTTTAATGCACATTTGTCAAATATCTATATATAGTACTAATGTTACCTTTTTAGTTTTTCTTTTAGTTGTAGGAGCATGCTCATATGTTAGGTACTTACATAAATTGTTACTATTATTTTTTCCTATGTAATACCTTTTTCTTTGTTTATGTGGTTCAAATATATTTTCTTTAAAAAAACAAATTCCCTTTGGGACCCCAGATCTGTTCTGTACGCTGAACCCTCAAGAAAGTCTTGTTGATTCCCACTCATCTCTTCTCTTCCTGGATGAGTATCCTGAAGAGTTTTAATCTTGTCTCCTCTAGTAGTTGTATGGCATTCACCTCGCTTAGCATTAGTGTTCTTTTTATAAAGTGGTGACTAATAGTCAATCCTTACAGGCTCGTCCTGAGGCACAAATGAGATAATGCACAAGAAAAGTACTTAACTATAACAGGCTAAAAATGTAACGTTGTTTTTTACTTAACAGTAGTTAGTAACCTATTAAATCCTGTATTTTATTAGTGAAATAATATTTGCCACCATTTAAGTGCTTATTATGTGCTAGCCACTTTGTTAGGCTCTTTCCATATGTATTCTCTAGTCTTCAAAATCATTCTGGAAGTGAAAAAACGTAGGTTCAGAGGAATCCAGTACTGTGCCCAAAGTTATACAGCCATAAGTGGCAGGACTGGGATTTAGCTCTAGGTCTGTATGATTCCAAGACTTATTTTGTTTCTACTTCATATGCTGGTGCGTGTGAATATTAGTGTTAATAGATCAACACCAAAGCCTGTGATGAGAACTCTTTAACAACAAATTTGAACGTTTATCTTCCTGAAAACCTCTTCTTAGTTTTCACAGTGTCTCGTCTTTTCTGCCACTAGAGTGAAGGAAGTGGAAGAGTTGTGTAAGGGTAGCCTTGAGTCCGTGTATTCACTCTACCCCACACTGGGCAGACTGCAGGCCATCGGAGAGCTGGAAAACATTGGGGAGCTTTTCTCAAGGTATGATTCATGTGACTTTGTAATCCTCAAGAGCAGCTTTTCTGTTACCAGCAGTGACTTTAAAAAATGAAAATAGAGACCAGCAGTAGGTTTGTTTGTTTCCTTTTATGATAGTGTAAGTTCATTAGCCTAGTGAACTGTGCTCATATTAAAATAAAAATTTTCAAAAATAGTCATTGTAAAAATTCAAGTTTTTAAAATTTAGCTTTATTGTGCTTTCCTCTTTATAGCTTTTTCCCTGTTCTACCCCAGATAAAATTGTTTCCTCATGTTTTTCGTCATAGCACATTATACTCCATTCTGTTTTAGCACTGTGTTGGCGTTAGTGTCATTTTATGTATACTCTGCCATGCTCTACTAGAAGCTCCCTAAAAGTAGGGCCCATCCTCTTGTTTATTGTTATATCCCTGCTGCTTTTTCCTGGTGACTGATTCTTAGTCAACATTCAGTGGTCTTTATTCAGTGACCATCAATGAATTTGAAGTAGGTGTTTAGGGGAGATGGCCTCTTATAATGGTGAGAAGAAAGTGATCTAGAAATACTGGAAAATGAGATTAAAGACTTCTTCAGGATGCTGTGGATGTAAATTCAAACTTTATGACCCTGAGAAAGTCACTAGACTCTTTGGGCCTCACTTTCCTCATTTCTAAATGGGGGATTTACATTTGATGGTCTCTGGGCCCCTTTTGGCCCTGCCATTCTGAGTCAATGTTGTTATTATAAGAGGAAGGAAAGAGAGTATAAATTTCTAAGATCACCGTATCTTTATGCTAAAATAAACTTGGAATATGCTTTGTAAGTCAAAAGGAGAAGGAAATTTTAGAGTCAGAAAATAAAAAGAGTTTTTTCAAAATTGCATATAGCAGAAGACAAAGCCATTGATGTGGCTCTTAACTAAAGAATAAAGGAACAAAACTGCTTTCTGCTTTCATTGAAAAGTACATTGGTAGTTCTTTTTTTTTTTTTTTTTTGTGAGGAAGATCAGCCCTGAGCTAACATCCGATGTCAATTCTCCTCTTTTTGCCGAGGAAGATTGGCCCTGGGCTAACATCCGTGCCCATCTTCCTCTACTTTATACGGGACGCCGCCACAGCATGGCTTGACAAGCAGTGTGTTGGTGCGTGCCCGGGATCCGAACCTGCGAACCCCAGGCCGCCAAAGTGGAGTGCACACACTTAACCTCTGTGCCACTGGCCAGGCCCCAACATTGGGAGTTCTTACACCAGAAATCCAGGAACTTTTCATCTGAGTGAAAGATATCTTCAATTAAAGAGAGGATAGAATTCCTTAAGAAACTCCTCAAGAGTAATACTGGCTCTTCCTCTGGTAGGGATTATAAGGAAGAAAGGCAGAGGGAAAGTTTGATGAGCTGGTGAACAAATGCTTATGTTCTAGGACAGCAGTTCTCAAAGTGTGGTATGGAGGTTCCTAGGGGTCCCCAAGATCCATTCAGAGGGTCCATGAAATCAAAACTATCTTTATACTTACAGCAAGATATTCCTTTTTTTTTGGTCTCATTCTCTCATGAGGTACAGTGAAGTTTTGGTGAGGTATCAGAGAAAAATATCCACAATTATCTGAAAAGACCATTAATATACTCCTCCCTTTCCCACCTGCATATCTGTATGAGGGTAGATTTTCCTTATGTACTTCAACTAGAACATCATATCACAACAAACCAAATGCAGAAGCAATGATGAGAATTCAACTGTTTCAATTAATGCCAGACACCAAAGAGATTTGCAGAAATGCAATACAGTGCCATTTTTCTCACTAAATTTTGTTTTGAGAAGTACAGTTATTTTTCATAAAAGTGTTATTTTTGATGTATAGTAGATTTATTGTTCTTTTTAAATAAATTAATACAATTTAGATTTTTCTCAGTTTTGGTTTCTAATATAGTAAATATCAATAGATATAATCCAAATGAAAGCTCTTTGGGGGTCTCAATAATTTTTAAGTGTGTAAAGGGGTTCCTAAGATTAAAAAGCTGCTCTAGAGGGGCCTGCTCGGTGGCTTAGTGGTTAAGTTCGCACTCTCTGCTTTGATGGCCTGGGGTGGGTTCGGATCCCGGGCACGGACACACTGTTTATCAAGCTATGCTGTGGCAGGCCTCCCACATATAAAATAGAGGAAGATGGGCACGGATGTTAGCCCAGAGCCAATGTTCCTCAGCAAAAAGAGGAGGATTGGCAACAGATGTTAGCTCAGGGCTGATCTTCCTCACCAAAAAAAAAAGCCGCTCTAGGATCATTTTGGGAGAAATTAAAGTTTTGGTTCCTATGAATTTGTATTATTGTTTCCTTCTTTATCAAGCAACTAAACAAGCTTTCGTTTCCTAGTCATCGCCTTGTTATCTTCTTAGTCTCCCTGCCTTGCCCTGATTTCTCTCAATACAGTAGTCCTGAAGGATTGGACAGTATTGCTTAGTTTGAACATCTGGGAAGCATTCTCTTCTTATAAACTAACTGTACAATATGCATTTTCTCTTCCTTGAATAAATACCATTGGTAAATGAAACCTTTGACAGATGCCAACATTTCCTTCACTGGGTTGTGATTTCCTTGACCTGCAATCAATCATACAGAGTCATCTCCTGTGCCTGGGGGGCACAGTCAGCAATTAATGAGTTTACTTCATGTCCTTACTGACATGTCCTCTTTTACCACATGGAGCATTGAAGCAGGACTGGAGGTGTAGGCATTCTGTATGACAGGCCTGATGACTGTGTTCCCATTTCAAAAAAATATATATTTAAAAGTGCTGCTTTTTGTGAGGTCAAAGAATATTTTTAAGAAAATCTTAAAAAATGTTTATTATGAAGCCTAAAAAAAAAAATGTTTATCATCTGTGGCCTCTCTGCTGACCCTCAGAGGTCTGACCATTTTGTAGTTTTCTAAACTTTGGACCTTATTTCAGATTATTGAGAAGTTCTAGTCTTGTTACTGCAAAAACTCCTTTCTACAGTCACGCACTGTAATGATGTTTCAGTCAAAACAGAGTGCATATACGATGGTGGTCCCATAAGATTAAGACCATATAGCCTAGGTGTGTAGTAGGCTATACCACCTAGATTTGTGTAGTATACTCTATGACGTTCGCACAATGACAAAATCGCCTAACGATGCATTTCTCAGAAAACATTCCTATTGTTCAGTGACACGTGACTGTATTATATCTTAAGTTTAGAACCTGCAGGATACCAATTTTTTTTTTTTCCTACTTACATGAATTCTATGATTTTGCTTTCAGATCAGTCACAGATAGGCAGCCCTCTGAAGTCTACATTAAGTGGCGAAAACACTCCCAGCTTCTCAAAGACAGTGATTTTAGTTTTCAGGAGCCTATCATGGCTCTACGCACAGTCATTTTGGAGATCTTGATGGAAAAGGAAATGGAGAGCTCCCAAAGAGAATGTTTTAAGGACATTCTCACCAAGCACCTTGTAGAACTCTCCACACTAGCCCGAACTTTCAAGAACACTCAGGTAATAGGATTTAAAACTGTGTCGTCTCACCTCTTGACTTTTCCTTTTATTACCCAGAAAATAGAAAGCATGAGTGAAAAAGAAATGTCATTGAGAGATAGAGATCACTATTAAAATATTATGCATAATTGTTTAAGATTTCTCATTTTGGAATTACACCTGAGTTTAGCCTTGGACAAAGTACTTACCCTCTCTAAACCTCAATTTCCTGGTTATAAAATGAGAAGATAACTGACTATATTGATAACAATTCAATGATTTTATACACTGTGTGTGTGTGTGTGTGTGTGTGTGTATTATAAATATACGTTCCAAGACTCCCAGTGGATGCCTGAAACCATAATAGTACTGAATCGTGTATATACATATATAGATATGAAAAACAGTCAGACGTGGGGGCTAGGAAGGCAGGTAGAGATGTACTTAAGACAGTCCTGACAAATAATCAAGTCTTCAATTAATGGTAGTTACTGCTTTCATTATTATTATT